CATGTGATAGCCACCCATCCATCGTACCCTCAAGGAATATCTAGAATACAACAACTTCATGAAATTTAATACGAGAACAGAACCTTGCATTGTGTTGGCAGCGAATTTAATGGAAGCCTTTCTCTATTTTAGTGTATCAGAATGTAGCCCGCTGTAAGCCGGATAGCAAGGGAAAACATTTTCAATATATGCTGTGGCTGTAAGTTTAAGCAGCATTTTATAACATGCAGCAGCTACAACGTTGCACAGAGTCGATGAAGTGGAGAGGTGGCTCAGAATTAGATTATGTAGCCAAGGCAACAACAGTTTTAGTTCCTTTGGGCAGTATATAAAGATAAAATATCTAAACCGACTCTTATACAGAGCTGTCAGATTTCAAATGCATAGCTATGCAAATATATTTATTGGATTGCAGTTAATGTACATAATCTATATGCTCACGCAATAATTATGATCAGGCATGCGTTGCGTATACGTAATATGTGCTGTCCGCAAACAAGGTCTTTCTCCCGGGCTTACGGCGACTGCGACACTCGTTCGTCTCGACACGCAATGCGACAATAATTTCTCATTATTTTTTCAGGAAGCTGCATTCGAAAAGGTAGAACCGAAGCAACGAAAGCTGTCAGTTTGTTTTATCCTTGGCTGTGTCCCTTTTAGAACTAGTTTGTGCTTGCCATGGTTTATATTACCCGCGCCTTTTTGGCATATGCTAGACTTGGCTGATATTGGCCATGGGGCTGTCGGGTTGTCTACCGTGGTTGCTCATCAAACAAAGTGCATTTTGTCGTTATGCATGAGACAAGCAAATAAAAACAACAACAACAACAACCACTGCAACACAAATGGAAAAGCAAACTGCAGCAGTTCATTTTTTCTTGTCATTCTGCGCTTTTCCCGTTTTCCCAGCGTATATTTCTTTTAATTTGAGCCAGCGAAGCGGCATCCAACAATTTTTTTTTCATTTTATTTTTTCAAATTCTTTTAACTTATTTACAAAGTGCGCAAAACGCCGCAAAGTATGCAGCGGGAGAAGCGACTGGAGAAGCAACTGTTAAAAGTTGTAAGCCCTGCGCCGAACTTTAAATGCTCTATGGAGTTTGAGGAGAGGGAAAGTTTAATGAAGTGGGAGAGGTGTCTTCTCAATACTTTTCATGCTACGAGGAAACTTTATCCTCGTCTTCGAGTCCTTCTTTTTATTTCTCTATTTGCTGCACATAATCTACAGAGAAAGAGAGCAAAAGAGAGGGGAGGAAAGGAACTCGAAATAGTGCTATGCATGTGGATAAAGTTTCTGTGCCTTTGTGCAAATATTTTGCACGGAAATTGCATTTGCGGTGCGGTTGGCAATAGTCAGAGAGCTGCAACAATTACAGCAACAAGAGCAATGAAGTTGATGACGATGGCGTGATAATTAAAATTGCGATAATGTCGTGTAATAGAGTCGAGAATGCAATGCGGCGTGTAAAATGTGGCAGCACCATGGGGAACTGTGCCCAATTGCAATGAATGAATAATGGGCTGTGGGAGTGGCTTCAGAGATGAATAAATAGATGCCATTGGAGTCATTGAAGTCTGATGCTTTGATTAAAGATGGAATCCACAGGCAAAGCGAGCTTATAGCAATTGATTTACCAAGTTCTGTGTAAGGATTCTCTGCTGCACGTTACTACTTAACAATGCATTCATTATCATGAAAAGTATTGGAGCAAATGCGAAAGAACTAATTTTATGTTAAAACCATTTTAGGGTTTATTAATTTGAAACAGGAATATCTAAGATACAATTCAATTATTCTAAGTGCCAAATGCATGAGTAATTAACGCGCAGTTGCTGCAAATAATGAACTCTATAAAGTTTTACCGGCAAAATAAAATATGCAAAACGTGGCAGCAAAGAAATTCAATGAAATTATAAAATGCTTGTAGGGAAACGAAAAGTTGCTGCCACTTAACGGAAAGTTTTCTTAAGCAAGACGAAGGGAGCCACGCAACGGCTTGCCAAAGTTTTTCAATAAGCGGCAATGCCAAAAACAAGGCTCAACATGTGTTCCAGACCTGGGCGCAACAGAGGGGCAGTCGAGGGGAGGGCAAGAAATACGCAATCGTTAAATCTGATGAACCAAGTGGAAGCCAAGTGAAACATGAAGAGCGAAAGAGGCGATTCGAGCGATGCGTGAGCAGTAGCAGGAAAAATATGGAAGCCAAGGCCAGGGGGCAATATAATTTATGATAAGCCAATAAAAATAATTGAAATACATTGAAGGCAGGCAACGGCTACAGAATGTGAGAGCCACACATCTGCCCTATCTATGTGTGTGTGCGTATGTGAGGGTACAACGAACCCATTAAGCGCTCCTTCATCGATTGCTGTGAAGTAAATCGAACTGAAAGCAAAAAATATTAAAGTAATGGCACGCAATAAAAGGCGAGGCATAAAAAACGGCACGGGAATGTCAAAGTTGAGGTACAGCCCTCAAGGAATTCTGATTGTGGCTGCTGCTGTGCAAGGTATGAACAAATAAAAAAACACTTAAAATAAAACATTGCGGAAAGTAGTGTCAGGAGTTGAAGTCGGAATTTTTCGGGAAATTGTGAGAGGAGATATGATTAAGAGATTGCTACTTGGAGATTGGAGAGAAGATGATTTTCTTGTTTGAGTCTTGGTGAAAACAGGGATAAAGTGACAAATTGCACACGTATTTCACATTTCTTGAAGTGGTTTGTAACATGTCCAATTTACACATATAATGGACTGTTTTTATGTGTCCCTATGGTATTTAGGAGGAAGGCCTATGGACAATTCCTTTATTTGTTTTGCTTATTTTAAAGCACGAAGCTTGTGCTTCACTAATTTCAGCTTGCTATAAATCTCTCATAAAAGTTAACTTTACCAAACATCTCTCAACATCTTCATAAGCCTATCTGCATCCAGTTGCCAACAGTTTATCTCCTAGCAGCACTAAGAACCTTTTAAACCTGTTAGGCCACATCTTCTTGGCCACAAAAAGTTTTACGCGTAAAATTTCACAGCTTTAGATTTCACAGGCTTTCAGGCTCTGTGTGAATAACGCTTTAAATTTTGCGCTTGACGAAACAGCTTTATTTAATTTTACACGTTTTTTAACTTAATTTTATTTCAAAATATATTCAATTTGAGTTTTAACAACATAAATTATTAATTCAGTATAAATTCTTTGTGAATTATTTACATTATTTTCTCACACAAAACGTAAATTCAACCGCTATGCGATCAATTTGAAGCTGACAACAAAATATTTTTGCCACATCATCAAAAATGTAGCAAATTAATAAATTTCATTAAATTTCAATTTGCTGCTCTTTTGTGTGTTGCGACGAGCGATAGTAACAACAACCTGGTAAGAGTAATATTTATTATGTGTCTGCTTTACATAGCAGCAGAAACCGTAAAAATAACAAAGGACAACAACAAAAACATCAGCGACAACATCACAATATTTATATTTCATTATATGTGGCAGCAAGAGAAAATGCAGGGATGGGTAAGCGGGTTGGCCCGTTCCGCGAAAATGGGACAACAATGACTATAATCATAATAACAGCAACAATGGACCGAGGCGTCGTTAACAGCCGTGTGGGACGTTACCACGGGGTGTATGATTGACACTTTCACATGCTGATGGTCAGTGCCCTCTTTGGATCGGGAGACACCCTGTCAAACGGACTCGTATGTCATGGGTTTGTATGCATATGCGCCCGAAATCACACTTTATGTGGTCCCTCCAGTCTGCGAGGTCAGCGCTCCAGTTCAAGTCACTGACGTCTGCCACGAAGCTGATGCTGCCTGTCCTCATCCCCAGACACTGTATATCAACCTGGGCAGGAGCTGCAATGAGAGTCTGCCGTGTTTTGCTGACTCTGCTCTTTGAAGCATGCCGCCTGGCCTGTCCGGGAAAACAACAACAGCCATGACAGAAGCATGTGGTTTTATTTGGCAACCAAACAAGATTCCAAATTGCGCAAGGAACAGAGAAAAACAAAACGGAGGGATTTTGGGAAGAACATTGCAAGTGTGTGCTGGGTGACAAAAAAAGTTTTAGCAACAACCCGAACAACATTTTGATTAAAAGGCTGCGGCAGCATTCTAGACTTGAATTGGTTTAGTTGAGATATAAGGTCGGATATAGAATGACGATCTAGACCGTCGGATTCAAATGATTGCAGGAGATAGAACTGAAATAAAGCAGTAATTGGTGTTTCGTATTCATTACAGGTTCTACACAAAGTTAGCAATTGGATTAAAATGATTATGTGTTAAAAGCTAAGTTTAAGTAACCTTCCTAAATTGCCTGAGCAATTTGACAAAAAAAAAAAAAAAAAAATAGTAAATTAATCCGAAAAAATGCAGCTTGCTGATTATAAGGTAAATCTTCAAACTGAAAGTATCTGACGTTTGAATTATATTTTGTATAAACATAAATTTAAAAGATAGCCAACTGTAGTTACTTTTTTTCATATGGTTTCATAAATGTAATGCAGAGTAAGCCTTTTATTTTAACCTTTTTAAATTTGTTGCGTAATTTGCTTCATTGGCAAAAACACGAAATATGCTTATAAAATATCACGTATACGCGCCGCATGCTGATAGCCGCTTCTGAGGCTGGCACATAAATGAAAACTCATAAATTTTATTTCCCCCTTTTTATTATCACCAGTTGGTCGAGTGACAGCAATGAACTCTGGGGAACTGGAAAGCAAATCTCCAGGCAGTATTTTCGCATATTATTAACTCTATTAAATATTGGGATTAGGCTGTGTGTCCTGCGAGTCTATCGGAAGTATTTTGAATTATTTAAGTGAGCGGGAATGACGTAAGTCTCATATAAATGACCAATTAAATGGAAATAAACAATTATTGAGAAGTATTTTAGTTAGGAATTCGCAGATCCCAAATGCACAAAATCCAGCCAGCCAATTACCAGCAACATCAGCCAAGTGGCAAATCCAATAAATACTTACCCCGAGCTGTGATACATCAAACAAACATTCGCCAGGACGATCCCTGCGGATATACAACACTTTTTGGGGTCTGTAGGGGGAAATGTTGCAACTACTTTCTCCCGCTGTTGGTTGTGTCGTTGGTTTCCCTGCTGCTCCTGCTGCTGGTGTAAATTTAATGCAAATTAAATGGAATTTTCCTGCTTAAATTTATTGAATACGCATTGCTGCACACACCAGGAGGGGACCGAGGCAGGCTGCAGCTGGAAAATTGTATATTTGTCACATAATTGGGACAAGGACTTTCTCTGAGTGCAACAGCGGGACATGCCGTCAATTTGTAAATAACTTTAAAGAAACAATGTGAATCTTCGAGCGATAGCTTGGAGTGGAAGAAGCCCCTAGAAGGTCTGCAGCGCCCAAAGTTATGCATGCCTTCTGCATCTGACAGCCTGAAATCTGCAAAGGCAACAGACATAAGTCCCTGTCATTTGCCACACTTGACTTGTTGTCGTTCAGATGACCCCACCCTGATACACACACACAGTCTCACAAGCAAATAGCATAACTTGTAATTCACTCGCTTCGCTCTGTTTGCTGTATAATGTTTGCCCTGTCGAAGTAGCCACGCCTCGAATCTCGGTTCTGCCGCACTAATAATTTGCAAAATTATATTTACCAAGTATTTCGACTTGCTCGTCTAATGCATATCCTCAGAGTCCCAAGGGTGCCTGTAAAGAAAAACCAAAAAGAGAAGTCATAAAATCTCAAATTATTGAAATGGAAAACTGATTGTCGTGTGGTTTTTGTTTGAATAATAAAAACGCTTTATGAAGGCGCCATAAATCTCCCCATTGGTGGGCCTTGTGGGAAACTGGAATAGGGAAAGTTAAAAACAATTTAAGCAATCATTTTGCATTCTCTTGGAAGTCTTACAAGCTTTCTAAAAATGTATGTCTGACATCTGCACTCTGTAAGGTCTTAAGACTTTATCAGTTTTTCTCATTTTGTCCTTACTTAAATTAATTTCTCCCTTATATAGGATCCCTCTTATTACATGTTTTTGTTGCTTATTTGTAGCTAAGTAAATATTTACCTGGCGAATTTTTAATTTAGGGCTCATCTGTGTGTATGCGAGTGCTGGGACCACATCACAGGCACAGGGACACGCCCATAAACGCTGACATACCGACCCCTGGACAAGAACAAGGAAATTAAATAAAAACGAAGCCGAGTATAGAGTGCAGAGGTTGCTTAAAACCTTTCAATGCTTGGTTTGGTGTTTACACTCGCCTTTTATTAATTTTCACATGCTGAGGCAGAAGTCTGTGTCCCCTCTGAATCCTTGTATAAACAAGGACGGTTTGTTGACATTTCTGGATTAAAGCGAACCCAGTTTATCCCTTTGCCAATCCATCGGCCCACTTTTTACGAAAATTCAAGGGTCTTACTATTACGTTGATGCAGTGCCTCGATTTGCATGCAAATATCCGTATCTCCCCCGAAGGAGGCGTGGGTAATTCGCCCAGCAGGTTTGTCAAGGTGAATTCATTGCCATGTAAATAAAGTGAAAAGAAATTCCAGTACCACACAAAATGTATTTTCCTCTGCCTTAGGCACTCAACTTGTTTATTTATATTTCCTCCAATTTGCGGAAGCAATAGTATATAAGAACAAATTAATTGAGTATTAATAGCACATTTGTGGCATCTGCTTTTCATATTAACTGAACAGCTTTACGGCCTCTCATAAATTAGGTATATAATTAGGTGTCCGTTGACTGTGGAAACTTTGGAAGCAGCTGGGTTAGTCGTCGGTGTAACGAGGAGTCCGAACTGCTTTCAAATATTTCTGGAGAACAATACTAAATACTTTGAATTCTTAGCAATACTTAAAATCCCAAAGAAAATCATTTCTATTGTTAGAACTTATTCATATTCATCCTAAGTGTGTTTATATAATGCCAGATTCAAAAGAAATTAGTTTAGTTGTAATCAAGGGTGAATATTGTTCAAAAGTCAAAACAATGCCAAAACCAAGAAATCAGCATAATCTTTTCTTACAGACAAAAAGTGAACAAAACAATTGAAACAATGGCAGCCCATTAAAAAGCACACAAATTTAAGTAATTATTCAAGACCCAATTCATTCACTTCCAGCAAGGGTTGCGATTTATGTCTCATTCTGCGACACTTCAGCTGAATTAGGTGGTAATAGCAAAGTTGATAGTTAAGGTTTTCGGCTGTTGTTTCTTGGAATTCTAGAAGAATATAAATCCCAAAGCCCCGCAATCTCTTTAAAACTACCAAGAAATGACAAGAGAAATGTGGTCCAAGGAGGCGGACACCCCCTGCTGTCTGCTTGTTTCGTGTATTTGCCTTGTCTTGGCATATCTCAGACCTTAGCACAACCCCTCAACGTGGCTGGCAATATACGAATCAGTACGGAAGCAATTTACACAATGCAAATTTGTGAGTCAAGTTGAGCACTTCCTGTTGTTGTTGTACCTTCCCAAAGTACAAAGGCGGTTGGTAATTTCTCATCAGCCCTTTTCCCGGCTTTCGTATAAGCAAAGTCTATTAAAGATGATTTATATGCAACATATTTCTAACTTGGCTGTTGTGGATAAACTTTTTGTAGGCACCCAATAAATTTTGAAGAAAGAGAACACAAATCACCACAAACTTTGCCAACAGGCAACAAATTCTTTACAACAATATCTTACTGGATTTTCAATGTTCTACCTTCAGAAATTTGTGACATCGTTCAGACTGTTTTACATAATATTCCAATCCTCAGAAGAATGGGACGCTCCACTTACCCTGCTAATTTTTCACCTTTAATGAGCTCGCTCCGAGCCACCTCCTTTTTCCCTTATTTCTTCGTCTCTGCCTTCGCTCACCTGAACCTATGGTAAGCTCTAAGTCGATTATCCGCCTCTCTCTGCGCATCTCAGTAGCACGTATTCATTGTTGAGCAGTTTATCAAAATGACACTGTGCTTTAAGCTGGATATCTCTGTGAGTCACCTTATTAATGACAGCAATTTAAGTGCTCATTATTTTTTGTCTCCGCTAAGCACTTCACACTGCATAGACAGCCACGCCCTGCGGAAATGATGTTGTCACCAAGTCAAATCGCTTTATATCCGCTTCGGGGGAAATGACTTGGACACGAACTTAGCTTTTGCTCAGTGTTGCACCTGCCCTGCTTTAGTTTTGTTATGTTTTTTCCCTTTTAACATTTCTTTCACTCTCGACTTTATTGTGCGATGCTCTTGGCCAGTTTCAATTATAAACACTCTGAAATTGGCTTAGTGCACTGCGCTTTATGGCCAGGACGTGCGTGGGATTGGCAGCAAACGGAAGCTGGCTGCAATCAGTTGGAGAGAGTAAAGAGCTCCGGGCGGACGTTAGCGACAGTTGAAAGTGTGGAGCAATCAAGTTGGTTTTTTCTGATGTGAAACAAAAGGGATGGTCGGAATCTGTTGAAATTGAACGCTGAAGATATAAATCGATTTCGAAGTTTGCCTATAACTCTGAAATACTGCTCAATCGTTACAGTCAGATATTAAGCTGCTGCAGCTAGGTTATCAGCAAAAATCATCGAATAAAATTTAATTATAGTATGAAATAATAAGAACAATGAAGATATACTGTAGAAACCTGCCTCTAAGTTAATATATTCTTGAAAGAAAAAGAAGTAACCTCCCAATTATAAAATTCAATTATGGCCAATTAAGTTGGCCTCACTGTGGTACCCGCAAAACCAACCCAAGTCATAAAAGCGAATTGTAATAGTTTATGGGACCATGAAAAGAGCTGGGCGGTGGTCGATCAGGAGCACCAGAACGAAGACAGATCAACCGGTAAAGAAGATTAAGGCAAGAAAAAGTAAAACATACAGAGAAAAACACTAGAACCAAAAAGCCTTTAAATTGTCTGGACAACTGTCATAGGTGGCAGCTGAGAAAAGAAACAAAACAGAAACAGGGGCATAAACAAATAATGCAAAAACTGAAACACAACAAATTGAAAAAAAGTGCTGCAAAAGTTTTTTAATTGGGTAGTGGAAACTGAATGTGCAGAAGGACGAAGGGAATGCCAAAATCATAAATGGTTGCAGCTTGTATGTGTTTTGCTTCTTGAAACCCACATGCATCGCAAAAAGCAAACTAACTGAACTCTTAAAAGCTAGAAAAGACAACAGTCTTGTATATTTACCAACATACACAGGCTTGCAGGCCGTTTTGGTGAAAAAGTCCTAAAGTTCTTATGACTTAATAAGCATATTTTTTAGTGCATATTTTTGGCTTTTTCACACAAGAATTTAAGCTTTCCTCCGGATTTCTGCCTTTCCCCTAGACTGACCACTACTCGGACCATATCATTATTCATTTTTGGTTGAGCAAAATTAATGGGCTCGTCGGGAACAAGGAAAGGGTCAGAAGCAGTAGCAACTGCTTTTGTGGTTTGCTTGATGTGGTCTGCCCAAATGAACTTGTTGGAGATTGTCCAGTTAGTTGACTCTATACCAAAGTGAGGCAAATGGACCACACCATAAATTTATTTGTAAATGCTTGTGGACTTAGAATAATTTGTGTGGAATATTTTGCGATAAGGTATGTAGATGCATACAATATGAGATACGCCTCTGCATGAATTGTGCATCTAATGCAAGCCAAGGAAGAGAAAGAAAAACGGACACATCTTAGGGGTCATAACATGCTATCAATGGCAGATAAGCAAAGAGTGTGAAAATTGCATTGGAGCTTTTATATTTCTCCTATAAAACAATGCAAAGAGCAAAAAAATGAGCAATAAAAAAGGGTCAATTGATTCAATTGGGTCGACATGGTGCCCATGGATTGATTGTATGAAAATCGATAAATGGAAATAGCATTAGGTCGCAGATTCCTTAGGCTCCAGTCATTCTTGAGAGATATTTAGAAGCAAATTATACAAATTCGTTCTTATTCAATTTATCCGCATATTCCCAGAAGTAGCATAGTTCTGTTCGGTTTATCCTCGCATGTGCAATACATTTAGATGGGCTTTCAAAAAAACCTCCTAAAAAGAAAGCAATATAAACGAAGTAAGTGGTTAGCCAATTTGTATGCAGTTTCTATTGAAAATCAGGAAACAAAAACTCGAATCATCTACAGCAGACAGAAGTGCACTAGGCTGAAGTGTCAAAGGGATCAGTTGCGGGTTGGTGCGGACTGCGACTGTGGGCTGTGATTGCCAGTCACTCAGCTAGTCGGAGGCTCTTTGTTGTCGCTGGCACGCACAATTAAGCGACTGAAAACACATCAAACAAAGCAACGAGCGACGGAAAAGGCAGAAAATTGCAATAGAGTTCACACGCACAGGAAGCATACGAGTCAGTCTGCGTATACGTAATTTCCGAAGTCCCCTTTTCAGCCACCCTCGCACACAACCATCCTCTGTGGGCTACTCTGCCTAAGCCAGATGGATAGCAGAGTGTTTAAGTTGGATCGAAAGGACCAGAGCATCCAAGCATCCGAAAAAACAATGAAAAAGTGGAAGCGGAGGCTAACTGGCTCTGGATACGGCTATGAATGCGGACATGCACTGCATTGTGCAACACGCATCCTGTGACAGCCGCAAAAGCGAACAAACGCAATAGCAACATGGTTGCCGACTCTTAAGCCGCAGAGGAAAATTCAATTTCATATCCTAACACAATTGATGAAGTGCATCATACACGAA